TTGGCTGGCAAATGGGGACAGAAATGCTAAGTATTATCATTTGAAGACGATGAGTAGGAGGAGAAGGAACATGATTGTGACACTTAAGGATAAGGAGGGGCAGTGGGTGGATGAGGAGAATGGTTTGATGGAGATGGTGTAGAAACATTTTATGGAGCTCTTCTCTAAGGAAATAATAGAGAGGGAGTGGCATGTTACTAGACAGCAATGGGGGAGTGTGGGCAGAAATGTTCTTTTGGGACTGAATAGAGTGATTGATGGAGAAGAGATAAGGAGGGCAGTGTTTAACATAGGAGCCTTCAAAGCACCTGAGGAGGATGGGTTTCCGGCAGTCTTCTACCACAATAATTGGGATTTAATTGGGGACAGTGTAATGAAGTTCATTTGGAGCATTTGGGAGGAGCCGAGGAAGCTGGCAGAAATCAATAGCACCTTAATTGTGCTGATTCTAAAAGTGGAAAGACCAGAACTGGTGTCGCATCTAAGACTAATATCCTTATGCAATGTGGTTTACAAGATTATATCTAAAATTGTTGTAAGTCGACTCAAACCCCTAATGAGTAGGGTTGTTTCCCCTTTTCAAACTAGCTTTGTGCCTGGAAGGTGTATACAGGAAAATATAATCATAGCCAAAGAGATATCTCACACGATGAGCAGGATCAGTGGCAGTGGCAATCGAGGGTTTATGGCAATCAAGATTAATTTGGAGAAAGCATATGATAGAATGAGTTGGAAGTTTCTGATGAGAGTCTTGGAGGAAGTGGGAATCACGGGGAAAATAAGGGAAGTTATAGAAGCTTGTATTAACTCGGCTACCTTTCAAGTTTTGTGGAATGGAATGAAATCATATTAGTTTACTCCTGCAAGAGGGGTGCGTCAAGGTGATCCTCTGTCCCCTTACCTCCTTGTACTTGGGATGGAAAAACTATCTCATATAATAGCAGATGCGGTAAAAGAAAAGAAGTGGAAGCATTTAAAGATGGGAAGAAGGAGAGTGCCAATCTCTCATCTCATGTTTGTAGATGACTTGTTACTCTACTGTGAGGTGGACAAAGAGCATATTGGTGTGGTGTTAGACTGTCTTAAGGTGTTTTCGGAGATCTTTGGGCTAAAAGTGAATCCACAGAAAATAATGATTTGTTTCTCAAAAAATGTCACTCCTGCTAAGCAGAAAGAAGTAATAGATATTTGTGGCTTTAGTAAGAAGGAAGATATTGGAAGGTATTTGGGGGCGTATGTGAAGGAGGGGAAAAATCTGAAACATAATTTTAGCTTCTTCATTGATAAGGTGCAGAAAAAGCTTAGTGGATGGAAGAGGAATTGCCTGTCTTTAGCAAGCAGATTAACTTTAGTACAATCGGTAACACAACAAATGCTAGTGTTCCATATGTTGCATGAAAATATACCCAAAGGTGTCTGTTAGCAGATTGAAAAATTGTAGAGGGAGTTTATCTGGGGAGAGGAGGATGGAAGAAGAAAAGTGCATCCAATAGGTTGGAAAAAAATTGTTTACCGAAGGAAGTAGGAGGTTTTGGTTTGAAGGATCTTAAAATGATGAATGATGCCTTATTATGTAAAGTAGGGTGGGAGATGATTGCTAAACTAGATTAGTGTCAAAAGTCCTTGATACTAAGTATGGAAGAAAGGCGAATTTAACAAAAGAATGTATAGTAAAGAACGGTGATTCGAATGTGTGGAAAAAATTAGGAGAGCTATGGGGAAGGCTGGTTGAAAATGTGGGATGGGAGGTAGGAAATGGGAAGAGTATCAATTTTTGGGAAGAAAAGTGGGTGTCAAGAGACGTCATACTAGGAGAAAAATGCAGAGAGGTGTTATGTGATGAGATGAAGAAGTTGCATGTGTGTGATTATGCAAATGATAATGGTACCTGGAAGTTGGAGGAGCTGTGCAAGGTGCTATCTGATGAATTAGTAGAATGGGTTCAAGCAATTCCTCCTCCTAGTCCTCAAGACTCAACAGATGAGATTAGATGGTTGCGAAGATCTAATGGTAAGTATCGGGTCTCAGATATGTGTAATTTTCTGAAAGGTTTTGATGGTTTAAATGGAAATAAACTATGGGATTTGATATGGGACTGGAAAGGCCCTAGACGTGTACAAATCTTTCTGTGGATAGTGGCTAATAGTGGGTTGTTTACTTCTGTAAGGAGATGCAAAATTTTGAAAACTTCTCCTATTTGTCTGATATGTAAAGAGAAGGAGGAAGACACATTACATGTGTTGCGTGACTGTTCTGTTGCTAGGCAATTTTGGGAGGAATGTTGAGAGGGAGAGGATGGAATGGTTTCTTTAGCATGGCCCTTGATGTATGGCTATATGAGAATTTACGTAGAAAAAAGGGGAGCTGGCATGAGTGGGATCTTATGTTTGCTATCAGTATTTGGATGTTGTGGAGATGGAGAAACTCTTGTCTGTTTGAACAGGATTTTTGCAGGCCAAGCAGACCAGTAGAAGTGATTTCACACTCTGTTAGAGAAATTAGGGAAGCAAGGGAGATCAAGAAAGAGATAAGAAGTAGCAGGTGTGTTGGTGCAGTGGGAAAAACCTGAAGAGGGGTGGATTAAACTCAATTTTGATGGGGCAATCGTGGGAGGAAATAAGGTGGCAGGTTGTGGGGGGCGTATAGGAATCATGAGGGAAAATGGTTAGGGGGCTTCCAAAGGAGAGTAGGCAGATGTAATGAAGTAGATGCTGAATTATGGGGCCTTTTAACTGGACTGGAATATCTTCAGAAGTTCAAGAGAGGGAAGGTTGTAATTGAATCTGATTCTTTGGTAGTCACGGGAAAGCTGGAGGACATGGTATATAATGGGGAGGGTAGCTCCAAACATGTAGGGATGGTGAATAAGATACTTAATGATGAGTGGGAGGTGAAAGTTAGACACGTGCTCAGAGAAGGGAACTTCGTGGAAGATCAGCTAGCTAAAATGAGCCTAAGTTACAACCTTGGTTCATACTGGCTGGAAAGCGCTCCTACTGATATTGTTTTTTGGCTTGACAGGGATAGATTGGGCAGATCTTGCCCTCGCCATATTCAATTTTAATTAGTTTGGGCTCTGGCCCCCTTTTTGTATAAAAAAAAAAAGGCACATTAAATTTCCCTGCTTCTCTTATAATTTTTTTTACAAGCCATTTAATGACTTGTAATACTATCTAATTCTAAGCAAGGAAATCTTCTCCCAGTATGACTTTTCTTCTTCTCTTCTTCTCTTTTTTTTTTTTTTAAAGTTCTTGAAAGTAATGGAAAAATAAAGTATGTGCCAAAATTTGAGTTTATTTTGAGGGTGTCCATAATTATTTTTGTGAAGACCTCAAGGGTGATGTGCTATTTACTTATTTATTTATTCTCAAAAGTTGGCTTGAGTGGGCTTAAACATACTTTTTATACGACAAACCATACACATGGGGATAAATTAATAATATAGCTGCTTATTCATATATAAACATTCTCAAAATAGCATTTAGTTTGATTATGACAGCGCAAAATAAATTCATTTATAACTTTATTTTAAAAGGCCCTCATATAACTAAAAATGATTAAAAAGATGATAAACTATTTTTTTTTTTGCCAACGATAAACTGTTATTTAAAGCAATTCAAATAATAAGAACGAGATAAGAAGTGGAATGTGGACATAGTATAATTTTTTTTAATAATAAGATAAAAGAGCAATAAATTTGCTTTAATGTTAAAAATTTCCATTGATATTACCATTATATTGTGAATATCCTCTTACAACCGTCATTATGTTTATATAAAAGTGAGTTAAAGTTGATGATCAATTCCAATATCAATGATATTATCTATCATTAATATCAATATTTTAAAATATCATAATTCTTCATCTTTTTTTTGTGGATAAACCAATAATTCTTTATCTTAACAGATGCATACTTTAAAATAAAGATAGTCTTTTTTTCAAAAAAAAGAATAGATAAAGACACCTTTTTGTGTCATTCTGAAATAAATAAATTTATTGCCTTCGTGAGGGCATTGAATTAATGTGTTAGCACGCTAATGTGTTGCTTCAACATCAATTTTAAAATAAAAAAATTTATCATTTGATAGTTGTTAATTAAAAATTTAAACATAAAATGAATGGTCTTGATTATCTTATTTTCCTCTATCTCTTTTTTTTTCCTCCTCAAAATCTCATATCCGACCTTGTATATATATAAAAAAAATTGACAGTTTGGATTTAATAAAAAATTATTATTATAACCATAAACACATAAAACTAAACCGTCAAAATTTGACATGCATAATTCATTAATCATGATTGTAGTATATAACAAATAGATTATAATAATAGTTTTTATAAAATATTAAATCTGTATATAGAGATAAGATTCTATCAAAAAAGAGAAGAAAAGAAAAGTAGATGACATGCTTTCAACATGGATCCTTTATAAGAGCATGGAAACCGACTCGAAATTCACCCAGTTTAATTTTTTGACCAAACATCCAGGACAGGACACCATTGAAAGCTCCAAAGGTGTTCTTAGTGAATCACTTTACAGATTATTCCTTTAATTTCAACGACTCTTGCTTTTCTTTCTTTCCTATTTATGAATGTGTAGATTCTTCTGGTTGGTCTGTCTTCAACATTATTGCCAAATTTAACATTGGACAACACTGTCACCCACAATTAGTCATTGTAAACATAACAATGCTTTGCATATCTGTCACTATTGTTTTTGAGACCACTTTGTCACACAAACTATAAAATGCTCAATCACGCATTCTCATTGGTGGGGCAGGGAACATAAGGAGGAAGAAGGAGGCAGATGAAACCTTTTTCTTCAGTACAAATACAGGAGGGTTGAAAAATAAAGCTTGGTAATTTTTGCTTATTGCTTGATGAGCTAATAACCCCTGCTTAAATTCCTTTCCTTTTTGATATTTTTGAAAGATTCCCTCCCTCTCCTTTTTAAATTTCTGTGGATTTTTTTGAAAGATTCTCTCTCCTCCAGCTAACTTTAGGAATCACCCGCGCTCTCTCCTTTTCCTTTAACCTGAGGCTCGTTCGTCGGGATTTTTTTTCTGGGTTTGGTTAATGATTTCCTGTTTCGTTGGTGCGTTCTCCTTTCGCTCTTTCAAATGGCTTCAGCCAAATCCAGAAAAACTCCAACTGAATATCTACTTTTCTAAACGGAAAATACTCAATTTGATTTGAACAATGCCTTCTTTGGACTCGGTTTCTTCATGCGTCTTAAAGCGGGGGATTTTTGAGCTGTTAACCTCCCTCCGAAATTCTCACGTCGTCTCTGATTCTTATAAAATTCAACTTCAAAGGTATCCCATTCACGACCGCTCTTTGCCGTTATTTATTTCGCGTTCAAAGTCAAATTTTCCGTCTGTAGTTATCGCTCTTTCCCTATTTATTGACGATTTATCTCTTTTGGTTTCTGTGCATTTGTGGGTTTTCCCGCGTACTGCTTCTGGTTGGGTCGTTCTCTTTCTTGATTCTGATTGTGCTCTCAAGGTTTGTGCTCCGTTAATGACTATGTTTTTCTTCTGAAAGATTTGAAATTTGGATTTTTTGTGTGTCAGTGGTCTTACTCATCCTATTGTGGGAAATGGGTCGGTTTCTAATAGTTTTACTTTTCAACGTCCAACTATTTTGTTCTCTCATGACTCTCGTTTAGTCAATAAAGAGATGGTTGGCGAAGAATAATACTATTTTTGAAGCATACGCAGTCGATTTTTTTTGACATAATAAATAGAAGAAGGCTCTGGTTAGGGAGCCTTCATCTGTTTCAGGATAATATATATACGCATCCGACTTGTTTTTACCTGCTAAAAGTTGGATTCTTCTTCTCCTTCTTGTATCATCCGTTGCTTTCCATTTCTTTTGCAGCTTGGAATTTGAGTTTGTTGAAATTGGGTGTTCTTGAAGGATTCGGTAGTCGGAGAAAGAGGTGTTGTAACACCGAAGATGGATTTGGAAGCAGGAGCTGTGGATTCCAAGATGAAGGGTGTTGGAAAAGTTAGCAGTAATGATAAGATGTTCAGAGCTGATAAAATTGATCTCAAAAGCTTGGATGCACAGCTTGACAAGCACTTAAGCAGGGTTTGGTCCAGGGACATTGAGTCCAAAAGGCCTAAAGAAGAGTGGGAGATTTATTTGGCCAAACTGAATCTGCGATATGTTGTAGCTCATGGAGCCTATGGTACTGTTTACAGAGGCACCTATGATAACCAAGATGTTGCAGGTAATTGTGCTATATGCCCTTTTATGCGCTATAAACTGTCCATTCTTCTTCTTGATTTTGTTTTCTCTGGTTCGTTATATTGTTTGCTGAAAGAATGAACGGAGAGAAATCAGAATGTGTTCTTTTCTTCTTTCCTTGTCATCTGTGGCCTGAAATTGGACGGTCCATATAAGTGCAGCGTATGTTTTCATGTCATCTTTACTTTTTTGACTTTTGTGCAATGTTCAATCAAAAATTACGGGCAGTACAGGGTGCTTGAGATGCTAAAGTATATTTATTTTAGGCCTTAAGCACATGGCAGCCCTAGGAATGATTGCCTTATGCCACCCTACTTAGAAAAATAAATTGGGTCTAACTAATGCCATTCATAATGTTGCTGTTGACTCTAAGACATATCTAATATCTGATACCTCCATATAAAACAAGGAAGTTAGGCAACTCTGAGAATCACCATTAGTCCAGATTTCGGAACAAACCTTTTTCTTTGTTTTTTGTTTTTTTTTTTTGTTGAAAAAAGAGCAAGCTTTTTTCTTTCTGCCTATGATAGGTACAGTTGCTTGCGTAATTAAGTCGTTGTGTACATTTTCTTTTCCTTAGTTGCCTAATTGCTAGCGGGGAACCCTTGATTGTGATACGTAAAGGTAAACGGAAAAGAGAGAAGATAGAGAGCGGAAGAGGGGGTGGGGGGGACTGGGAATTCACTTTCATCAACTGTTAACAACAATAACTGAATTACCAATGTTTTAGGTTCATATGTATAGCCTAATGCTCTAACGGTCATTAATTACCTGTTAGTTACTTTGCTTATATTTATATTTAGTTATTTTGCTCATAAGTAAATCTGACTGCTCAATTTTTTAATCTTCGGCCAAAAATATTTAGTTTCGGAAAGGTGGTGGATGATTGCTTGTTTGAGGATAGTTACTTTGTTATTACTATTTATGAGTAAAAATTAGGGTTAAGGTGCGCCCAGCACCCCGGACTATTTACCCAAATGCGTCCAGTGGCCTAAAGTAATTTTGGGTGCATCCAGTGTCCTAAACTAATTAAAATGGTGCGTCCATATCCTAGGTTAACAGAAATGTTATGTTTAACTGTTACTTTCCTGACTCAGCTTAAAGTTGACCCCAGATATTCTACATGGTAGACACATGGGCACCCGATGTGTATTATTCTTACTCAAAAGTTAATTTATTTAGAAGAAGAGGAAGGAAATAAATTCAATTTTGAGTAAGAATAATACTTATCAAATGTTCATATGTCTACCATTTAGAATATCTGGGGTCAACTTTAAGCTGAGTCAGGAAAGTAACAGTTAAACATAACATTTCTGTTAGCTTGGGATGTGGACGCACTATTTTAATTAGTTTAGGACACTGGATGCATCCAAAATTATTTTAGGCTACTGGACGCACCTGGATAAATAGTTCAGAGTGCTGGGCGCATCTTAGCCCTAAAAATTATTATTACAACTTATTTTTTGGAATGGTCTTCTGTCATTGGTTTTGTTGAGTCCTTTTATGATTTGAATGAACTGCGGTTATTTGACGCGTTCTCTTTTCTGCTATTTCTTGGAGCTTTCCATTCTTTATTTTCCAAGTGAAGTAACGCAGTTGTTGGAATTTGAGTTTGATGGTTTCTTAAGTTGACTCTGTTTCCTATTCCTCACTTCGAGGAAACCAGACTTAGTTATAAAGTCGAATATTCTCGTCTCAGAAAATTCTCACTGTTCTCTTATGTTGAATTTCGTAGTGAAAGTTTTGGACTGGGGTGAGGATGGTGTGGCCACAGCTGCTGAAACTGCTGCTTTACGTGCATCATTTCGGCAGGAGGTTGCTGTTTGGCACAAACTTGACCATCCAAACGTTACAAAAGTACAGACTTGTAGTCTTCTTCCGAATATCTTTAAAATTATGAACTAGGTCTTGTTACTGAACAAAGTTGGTGCTTGAAGTGGCAACTTTGAGCAGCAATGAATACTTAGTTATGCTGTAGAAGTAATGAAACTTTGGATGCTTGCATTTTCATGGCTTAATTTCCTGTAATTTGTAAGAGAGGGGCTAAGAATCAAGTGTTGGGCTCTAAACAGCATATATTGCTCAACGCATGCCTTCAGTTTTTTTAAAAATTGTTTCTTACTCTTGCTGCAGTTTGTTGGAGCTTCAATGGGAACCTTAAATCTTAAGATTCCCACAAAGAACTCTTCAACTGATGGTCAAGATTCCCTTCCTTCTAGGGCATGTTGTGTTGTTGTTGAGTATATCCCTTGTGGGACACTAAAGCAACTATTGTTCAAACAGAGGCACAAGAAACTTGCTTTCAAGGTTGTGATTAAGCTGGCTTTAGATCTCGCTAAGGGGTAAGTTCTGCTTCTTTCATCTTTACAAAAACTGCAAATTGATTTCCTACTGAACTAAAATGTTTGCTTCCTTTCATTTACAGCCTTAGCTACCTACATTCAAAGAAGATTGTACATCGAGATGTCAAAGCAGAGAATATGTTGTTAGATCGCCAAGGAAACTTGAAAATAGCTGATTTTGGAGTCGCACGAATTGAAGCACAAAATCCAAGTGACATGACTGGTGAAACTGGAACCCTTGGATATATGGCACCCGAGGTATTGATCTTGGTTTACGAAAAAGGAAATTGCTTGTTTAGCTTTATTGAAGGCAGGCAACTTCTTCTGTTATCTTTAATATCAACCATGATGCTGTGTGTAGGTTCTGGATGGTAAGCCTTACAACAGAAGATGTGATGTGTACAGCTTTGGCATTTGCTTGTGGGAAATATATTGCTGTGATATTCCTTATCCAGATCTTAGCTTTGCTGATGTGTCATTGGCAGTTGTCCGTCAGGTAAGTCCACGTGATGAATTATTTATGTATGCATACTCATCATTCTTCCATGAGTATTATGATCATGTTACTGATATAATTGTCCCACTCGTGAGAACTCATTTGGGTGGCTTTCATCATTACTCTGAACAAAGTTTGTTTGGCTTGAAACAATTCTACTGAAGAGCATGATAACAAAAACCTTTTGCTGAAAATCTTACATTTCTTGGTGTTCTTGCGCAGAATTTGCGACCGGAAATCCCACGATGTTGTCCCACATCTTTGGCTAACATCATGAGGAAGTGTTGGGATGGGAACCCAGACAAGCGTCCAGAAATGGGCGAGGTGGTTAGTTTGTTGGAAGCCATAGATACAAGCAGAGGGGGAGGAATGATACCAGAAGATGCCACACCCACCTGCTTCTGTTTTGCTCCATCTCGTGGTCCCTAACTCTTCAAGTCCTTGTGGAAGGTAAACTATATATATATGTGTGTGTATATATATATATATATATATATATAAATATTGATATTGGTCAGGGGAAGATAAAGAGAGTTGCAGATGGTAAATCTTGTTTTATGGTTTGCCAGGGCATACCCCAACTGGATTTCCTGGTTGGTGGTAGAAGAGTTGAAAGATCATGAAGAAAGAAAAAGGGAAATAATGTTTGAAACATTTGTGTTTTGGTTAAATGAGAAGCAGAGATTGGTGCTGTAACCATTTTTTGTTGGTGCACTTAATAAAATTTTCAAATATGAAATTATTTTGATTCAGTTATGCATGGCTTTGTTAAGTCAAATTTTCTAATGAGATTTGACTTTGGCTACCGACAATAGATAATGAATAGATAATTACTCTTCATGTCTTTAATATAAGACTTATTTAACTAATTTGATTAGATTAAAGAAGTTATCTAAGTTAGTTAATTATAAAAAATATGACTTTTTTTTTTTGAAATACCATAATCATTTTTTTAATATCCTCTTTTCATGTCCTATTTGATTATGGTTGAGGAAGTATCAATAAGGTAATTTAGAAAAAATTGATAAATATGATAAATAGATCTTATATTTAGAATCAAAATTAACTCAATAATTAAGTTTTATATTAAAGATAAGAGGAATAGTAAAAATATATCCTTAGATAAACCTCAAACTACATATTTAGGCAAAAAAATTTTACAAGTCTTTATATAAAATTTATGAGTCAAAACAAGAAACTTAGGGTGTGTTTGGATGAAACCAAACCGTGGTTTGGAAAAGTGATTTTGGAAAAAATAGATTCTGTGAAGAATAGATTTTGTAAAAAAGTGATTCTGAGAAGTGAGAGTGTTTGGATAGTTGTTATTAAAAGCACTTTTTATATATACAAATTACTAAAAAAAAGACATAAGTTAATATGATAATTACAGAAAAAATAGATTTTATGATATATTTTAATTTGAAGAAATAAAATTATTAATAATATGTTTTTTACCAACATAATTAATAATACATAAGATAATATAATTAATAAATAATTAATGTCTATATATATTTATAAAATATAAGATTAAATATATTTATAAAAAAATATGTTTATAAAAAAAATAACAAAATACATATCATATAGGTCCTCACACTCTTCCTTTTTTCTCCAAAAGCAAAAAAATTTTGTTTTTTCCAAAACCATGGTTTTGGAGTCAAAACCATGGTTTTGACCCAAAACCATGGTTTTGGTTTTTGGAGAGGCTGTTTGGGTAGCATTTTCCCCAAACCATGGTTTGGGGTGCTATCCAAACAGAGCCTAACTTGTGTGTTTTCGTACAAAGTTTCTAGTAGATTTATTTAATGATAAGTCAAATTCAGGAAATGCATTACCACTTCCAGTCCTAATTATAAGATTTAGTTGACTAATTTGAGAAAATTAAAAAAGTAAATTAAGTTAGTTATTTGTCATAAATAAGTGTTGTCTTTCTTAAAATATCCTTACTAATCAAGTATATTGGTTAGAATTACCATTATTAGAAGGATTGTCTTGGAAAAAAATATATAACTATGAGACATAAAGTGGATTGGGATTTTATATTTAGGACCAAAATAAAAATCAAAGAAAATTTTATTTAAAGTCCGGAGGTAGTAGTAATTAATTTTTTAGGGCTTTTTGTAATTATTCAAAATAATGGAAAGAACAAAATGAATAAGACCAAATTTCTCTTATTTTGGGTCAATAGTAACCCAAAGGTTTTTGGACATTACTTAAACAAGAAAAAAACGAAGCCCAAAATTTTTGTGGGTCAACGCGAGCCCAAATTTGAATCATTGTCCCTCCAACCTCCACCCTTAGCCATACATTATTTGATTTTAATCAGTTTGATAGAGCTGTTGAATTCTATCTTCGGTTTGCATAAAACTTATCTGATTTTTTTTTCCAAATTGAACAAAGGTGTCCTCCTACTAGAGTCACATTCTTTTAGCAAATAATATAATAATAATAATAATAATAATAATAATAATAAAGAGAGGATATTTCAAATACTGTCGAATGGTAAATATGCAGTTAAACACCTCTTCCAATAAAAATTTAAATATTAATTTATTACATTGTAAGGAACAATCTTCTTCCACTAGAAAACCATATGTGATTTTCAGTTTTAGCATCTTATATTTATTTATAATTAATTTTTTATTTGGATAATTAAAAACTTTTAGCAAACTGTAAAATCGAACACACATATTAAATTTTAGTTTAAATAAAAAAAATCGAGGGAGTAATATTAGTTTACCCAAATGTGTTTGCTATAATTGTTGTCCACTATTACACAAATTAGGCTTTAAATTTGGTTATATCTGATTAAATTTGGATAAAACGTTACTTGTGAACTTAAGAAAAATAAATAGAAATTTAAATGTGTGATGGCCAAGTGTTGATAAGTATAACAATATCATCGAATAAGAACATTGAAGATTGTCGAGCTACGTAAGGTGTTAACTTTCAATCTACCAATAAATGTAGAAAATCTGTTGATGAAAAAGTTTGTTTTCAAGTATAAGGTTAGATTGGTCATTTCATAAATATGATTTATTATTTATAATAATTATTTAATCATTAAAAATATTGGATGGTTTGCACCAAGTTGTCACTTTATAAGTTTTTTTTTTTTGAGCAAAATCACTTTATAAGTTATTTAAAGGACACAAATTGTTGAATCAGAATTTGTCAACTAATCAAATAATTACAATAAAAAATTATACGTAAACGCAACAAAATTAAGGTAAAACAGAGTGTTTTTAAAATTATTAAAAATAACTTGAAGGAACTTTAAAAATAGCTAATAGAAAAGAGGATTGAAAATTATTGATAGATTGTTTTATGAATATAAATGTAAGCACGCATATTTTAAAAAATAAAAATATGGACTTGTGAATTGCTAAATTGAACATGCTAATTTTTACACCTATCTTATGATTAATAATCTTGTTTCTAGCCTTCCTTGCTTCTGATAATATCCTTTTCGCAACTAGTTTTTCATAAAGTTGAGTTGGTTGCATGGTGCGGAATTAAGTAAGAAAAACTCAAAAATATGAATATTGATTGTTGGATTTATTATTCTCATTTAAAGCTTTCTATATATTCTCTTCACCCAAAAAAAAAGAGCATTCTATATACTCTAATGTTTCAATGTCTTTTTTTTTTTTTGAGTTATTTAGACATCCCATTCTCTTTATATAATTTAACCTTTAATTTATAATATTTTCGTTTTTTAATATAAAAACTAGTTTGACTTTTAATTTGGTTCTAAATATAAGACCCCAACTCATTTTGTTTATTATATATATATTTTTAAGATAGTTATTGTAGTAGTTACACGTATTAAATATTTTAACAAACGACACATGATTAACAAAGATATTTAAGAGAAGACAACACCTATTTATTATGAATAACTAAATTAATTTTTTTTAATTTTTTTAGATTAGTCAACTAACTCTTATATTAAGGATTAGAAGTAGTATTTTTTAGGTGGAGATTGGCTTATTGTTATTGAACATCAAAGGATGGAAGCATCAAGAATTAGAGGGCATGGCAAATCAAATGGGTCAATCTCTTATCCTTAAAGATAAAAGAGGTGTTGGCATTATATGAGGATAATGAACCAGAAGCTGAAACGTGGAAAATCTCATTAGGAATGTCTCAATCCAATTCCACCAAAGTGGAATCCATTTTCCCCAACAAAGTTAAATAAATATGATCGCCTTAATTACTTGATGTGGACGTTGTCCTAACCTCACACCCACATTTCCCTCAAAATTGGCATAATGACTTGGAACTTCACTTGTCAGTTATTCATAATCTCACGCAATCTTCAAAATTTTTCCATCTTCTTAAATTAAAAAGAGTGTTCTTTTAAAATTAGAAGAAGCCAGAAGGAACAAGTTATTCTATTTACTTTAAAAGTGCGTGAAAGATGGCAGTAGTTATCATAGTTTTTGATAAAATTTTAATACATATTTTCATTTATTGTGGCGTTTTGTCTGCTTCAAACATATTAATGTATAAATTTTCCACTTCAAAAATGGAAATGAAACAGTGTTCAAGTGAACTTAATTGTATCTAAATTCATCAATATATTGATAAACTAATTGTGACTCGATAATTTCTTGGGTTCTCATTCTGACTTATTTTGATGAGTTGATGATTATATTTATTTTTGTGATTGATACATGTTTGAGTCTTTTTGAAAATAAAATTTTGTAATTATATTTACTTTATACTCTCAGGACAGCATAATGCCGTGACATAGTGAAAACGACGTGTCATATTTGCGCAATTGGTTTGGTAAGTGGTAACATTCTCCAAATATTTTATGGGGGATGGATTGAGTCCGCTAGTTTAAAAAAAAGAAAATGGATTGAGTCTGCATCTTGATCGTTGAAATCCAATTTTCTGTATCTTGATCGTCCAAATCCAATTAAGTCACTCACCGATTAGAATAGTTTATAAATAAATTTTTAATTATAATTTACAGGATACCAGATAAGCATGTAAAAAGAATTTTATCTCGATTTACGTAAAATATATTTTTAAATATTTACAAATATGATTCCGAATGGTTTATGAATAAATTAAAATGAGAAAGTCTAGCAGAATGAGTTAGCCTTCATAACATGACGAACCAATATTCAAATCACTTTTAAAAATAATGCTCACATTTGGTACTAAGCAGTGTCTCAAGTAAGATTATTTGTGATTAGCAAAAAAATAGAAAATATTTTATGTCAGTGACACCCAACTTTTTAAGTTTTCGAATTCAATGAAGTGCGGTGTCGTAATTGGACCTCAGAAAATAATTTCAATTGAAGAAATTGAACTTGTGATGTTTCATGATTTTATGGGCCTCTCTTTTGATAATGCGCTCCTTGTGAGGGCTCTTACTGAAATTCTCCCTTTAAATAATTAGTAGACAATAATATATCGAGACATAGTTCTATTGAATGTTGGTCGTTTTCTTTTTCTCACCTCTCTTATTCTTAAATAAAAGGAATAATAACTTTCAGACCTTAAATTTTATTTCAATTATTGAGGTAGTTTTTAAACTATAATTTAGTACAACTCAATTTAAAATTTTATGGGCCATTTTTTCATAATAAGTTGCTTGTGGGAGCCTTTCATAAAATTCTCCCATAAAACAACTAGAAGACAATAACGTCTCTAGCCATATTTTACCCTCTATATTGAATTATTGATGGTTTTCTTTTTCCCATCTCCTTCATTCCAACATAAAAGGAAAAAT